TAGTCCCAATTATTTAATAGGGCCCTACATAAATAATAAATTAAACATCATGGGACCTCCTTTGCCGGTACCAAAATATGATAATAGGGGTTTCCCTTTTTTTCTGGCCAGAAAAAGAGGGAAAACCTATTATCCTAATAAATAAAATATTCAATTTATTTTCTCTTCTAAATATCAATCGACCCCCCCCCCCCCACCGCAATCCCCCCCCCCCCCCCTTGACACAAGGTGGTAATTTGAGGATGAGTCAACCGAGGGATCACTCGGGACACGATAGAGACAGCGATACGCTCGGCTGGGAATAGAACCCGTGTCGCCAGTGTGGCAGCGCAGTGCGAACACCACTCACTGTACCGCTGGCTTGCCACACTTGGGGCGCAGCCCAACACTTGCTTTGGAAGTTGGGAGAGGGGGGGGGCATCCTGATGGCGTACGGTCCACCCGGCGAATTTGACGTGTACGCGTCGGTTCGTTAAATGGGTCCTGATCCGTGAGTCAGATCGCCGTGCGTGCGATGCCAACGCACGTCACATGCCCTCCGCCACCTGGGAGAGCCGCCTGAATGAAGATATCTTGTGCGCAAACAAGCCAAGGTACGGCATATTTTCTGCATGCTCCTAGATTAACATACTGCACATACGTAATGTATGTTGATTAACTGTCAATAACCCAACCAACAATGGGTATACATTGTCATTTATATGACTACATTAACCTGGCACCTGGATAGCTGACAAGTGACGACATCACATTTACCCCACTCTATTTAAGACCGAAACAGGAGGAATCCTCCACAATTTCTGGCTATCGCCTGATGAAGCTGGTTGTAATTACAGGCGAAACTTCATACTCGAATTGTAAATGCTGTGGGTTGACTCTCCAACACACCGGTGTGCTAAACTAGTAACTAATTGGCAGGTTTTGTTTACATCACAAAACTTTTCCGATTTAAAGCTTTCGTGACTGCAGGGATTCATCTTCTTGGTTCTTTTGGTAAAGTCACGTAGAAGGGAGATAATAAAATAATAAAAATAAAACATAATAAAATAATACAATTCTCACGACGTTTCGGCCATTTTTCAAAAATATGCTAAATTCCTCTGTTGATATGCAAATTCCTTTGTCAAGGCGCTCTTCCCCCCCTAACCCAGCTTAAATATACGCTGCAAAGCTTGGCTGTGTTCATTCAGACACTGTCTTTTCGACAGACCTGTTCTTCACCTGAGGACGGCTACTTGCGTTGTGGCCGAAACGTCGTGAGAATTTTATTATTTTATTATGTTTTATTTTTATTATTTTATTATCTCCCTTCTACGTGACTTTCCCAAAAGAACCAAGAAGATCACAAAACTTACTAATTGGCGGTGTTGGGTGGTGGCGGGTTTAAAGACATTTATATTTACACGCTCTAACCCCAAAAAAAACCTTTATTATGGAAGCCAATGTATTGCTGCTTCAGAGGGCAGTCCATGATGATTAACGATTTGACACGGATGTTTCGCTGGTAATTACAACCAACATCTTCAGGCACATGCCAGGTGTCAACTCTTGCAGGAATATCAGTTAGTAATTGAAGGTCTGGCTAGATTGGACATGCCCCACCCCTCTCCACCACTTTATCAGAGTTAACAGTAGTTCGACTGTGACTCGGTACTGAGCCTACTGTCAATGCGCTACTGTGTATACAACGGGTCTGTCTGGCATTTGTGTCAGATGTATGGAGAGATGTTAGTGACCTCGCCTGGTATACAGGAGGTCGTGGGTTCGATCCCGACTTGATGCCTGCTGTATGTTTGGAGTTTGCATGTTCACCACGTTTAGCTGCTCTAAATTTCCACGTGATAAGCAATTCGTTCAGCTATCATTTGTGGCCAGGTAGCTTCTGAAAAATAATCAAATAGCTCAGTGGTCCTGACCCGGTAAAATAAAAAGTAAGTTAACAGTTTAGTTGAGGTATACAATCACAGACTCAAAAAGAACACCGTCGTTTTTTTACCCAAAATGTTGTCGGTGCCTCTTAGCCACGTTTCTACGACCGCTTGCGAGTGTCCGGACATCCACGACACCCACGGTGGCCGAGGCGCTGCCACGCCGGTTCTCTTAACCCACCGCCCACTCACTCGCTCCATCTGCCCGCCAATCCATTCCTTTTCCGAACCGCAGCGCCACATTTCCTCAAGATTCTGGCTGTTGCACTGCCGTGCCCACTCAACTCCCCTTGCTCGACCCCCCCTTGCCGCGCAACAGCTGAAGCAGCCAACGCGCGAGGCACAAATAAGGCAGCCCCCCCCCCCCCCCCCTCGGGAAAGGAATGTAACAAAACGCTCAAAGTTAGGCGCGTGGATCGCAAGAAGAGGGAGAGAGAGACAGACATTTGCTAAAACGCAAAGTCCGGTGGCTTTATTATTTCCGCAGTTCCCGCGAGTGCATCACGGATGACGTTGCGGTGGTGTAAGAGGTCGCACGAAAATCTGACTCGCAATCCAGAGGTCGCTGGTTTTTTATTCGTTCTCCCGGTGCGGCAGTTTAAACTATGGCGCAAGTTTATTAAATCCGCCTCCCCCCCACCTTCCTCCAGCAGAGGCATGGGAAAGTAATTGCAGGGCCATTACCGTCATCACCTTTTAAGAATGAATTGAGGCTGGCATCTGTTGGCACAGGTTCAGTTGGGATTAACCTGTTAACTCATGGTTATCTGACAGAGTAGTTGCAGTGGTTACGGTGCTGGGCGCTAAGCACGTCGACATTGACTCGAATCATTCGGCGTGGCAGGAATTACAGAAATAAAAAACTAAAGTTAATTAAATTTATCGGTGCCGAGGCTCCCACAAGGCCATGCGGGAGGGCGTGTGGCATAGTTTGGCACCAGCTATCCTAGAGTTGTGGTCGTGCCACTATGGTTCGCTGCAGCGAGTACAACGTGTTTAAAAACAACGGGGCAGCTACGCCTCTCTAAATAAAATGAACGCTGGAACACGTTCGCGCGTTCCCAGATGCAGCCGTGCGAACGGGACACCCACCACCCTTGCTACGCATCTCAGAATGGGAGAGAGTTAACAGTATACATCAAATACGAGCCACGGTGCGATTGTGGCCATGAAACCCAAACTATGGACCACCGTAGTTGCCTGCAGGCCTCGACAATGCCGTTAAGCTCCTGAACATATTGCCGCAGGCGAGAATTGAATAGACCAGTCATGGTATTGCTACTGTTGTGCTCAAGACAGCGTTCGTATAAATATACTGTGACAATTGGAAGTAAGTGCGCTCTCCTGTCAACTGCACTGATATTCAGTTGTGAGCGATTTTAGCAAAACGTTACCGGCAGTGCGACCAGCAGTCGAGGCAGTTCTTTCACCGTGCTGTATTCCCACTCAGTCTGCTAAGGCAGGGGTCCCCAACCCACGGGCCACGGACCGGTACTGGTCCGTGGCCTGTTAGGAACCGGGCCGCACAGCAGGAGGTGAGTGTTTTGGTAAGCCCACAAGCTCTAGCCCCTCGCCAACATGAGTAAAAAACAAACGTCGCTGGAGAGCTTCTTTGAAAAGGGGGAAAGACCCAATGATGAACCCTCCCCCCTCCCGGTCAGTGAAAAAATTGTCTTCCACGAAACCGTTCCCTGGTGCCAAAAAGGTTAGGGGACCGCTGGGTAAACGGCTGAGGACATTTGAGGCATGTGGTTATGATGCTGCTTACACCGGATTGTTGGAGTATATTTTCCCCTTGGCTAATTAAAATGCTGTATGAAAAGGGCGAGGTGGCCAACCGCTGTCAGATAATGATAGACAGATGCTATACAAACATAGGAGGATTTATTTTACCACCCGAAATAAAACAATGGTTATGTTTACCAGCCCATGGGCTGCCTAGAGTGTTTAGTATAGGCTGGTAAGCAACATGGGTTAACAATGTTTACAGGCTGGAAAGTCTAACCATTATTTTATGATCATGCTGAAACCCATGCCGGTGTTAAATTATGGGAACCTTGTCAATTCAGTGCAGGGAATTGCCGACATGCATTCAGTCTGCCGCAAGGCTATCCCTTGGCGATCAGGCCTGGACATGGATTTATGGCTTTCTTTTGCGGAGCCGATGCACAAGAAGAAGACCAGCGTTTGGTTGTTTGCTTTTTTTTCTCTCCAGCAGCATTTTGTTTGAGCAGGGTGAACCCTGCACTTGTTTAGACTTTCCGCTTCCTATCTGGGGGAAACGCCGACTTGTGTTCGGCCAGATGCTGCCTCGGGAGATGAACACGAAAGAAAGAGTAGGGGGGGGAGTGTTCATCGCACAGACGTTCATGCACAGCTGTGTTAGTGGCCCCCATGGGTGGGGACATTATTTTAAGCACATGCCTCGGCAAAAAAAAAACAATTGCATAGTATGGCACGGAATTAAGACGCCCAGTCCTTTTTTGGTAATAGAGTCAGAAATGTCGTCCGCTCTGCGTGTGCATCTGTCCTACTGCGCGTCTAGATCCGCATCACGCGACACACACGCAGCAACAAATCCACCGCAACTTTAAAGAGGCTGCGGAAAGGCCAAAAATCTGTTTCGTCGGGGGTTTGAAGAACCCTCACCCTGGCTCTGTACCTCCACGTCGCGACTGGAAGTTGCTTTGTATTTCACGATGAATGTGCGAGTTAGAAACTCTTTAATTATTATTTCAATATTTTTTTTGTGTTAGCCCGTCTTAACGTTTCTGTGCTTTAAATGCCACCTGCCTCCACCCACATTAAGGCCCGGTCGGAATCAGAATCAGAATTACTTATTCATCCTGGAGGAATCCGATGAGCTTCGAAGCTCTTTTACACACATGTCCAGCCCTTAACATGGGGTGGGGGAAATCGACGAGCGGTAGAATCGACAAGCGAAGAAATTGGTCAGTGGACGAATCGACGAGCAGAGGAATGGGCGAGTGGAGAGGAATGGGCGAGTTGAGTTTGGTGGAAGCGTCAACCGCATGCCCCTGCGGTGCTACAGGCAAGCAACGTGGCGCTCACCGGCTCGAGAATCGAGACGTGGGTCCATCCACGAGGTGGCTTTAGTCTTGTGGTTGATGAAGTACATCTCTCCCTTCTGGTTCACCGCCTCCTCCCAGCCGTCCGGAAAGGACCCTTTTGGTAATAAAAAAAAAGGGGGAGCGACGCGAGGGGAGTTCGTCGCGGTTGAATTGCTCGCACGGCGGTTTTGCCCCGCGGAACGGCGGCTGTGCATGACGAGTTATGAAATTGGACGAATTGTCGAGTGAAGAATGCGACCAGAGGCAAAACTGGTGAACGGTTTTTATAATCAGTTTAACACGCGGTCGGCTTTCGCCACCGATATTATCCACAATAGTGTTTTTTTTTCTGGGGTTAATATAAATGTGTCGTTAAACGCAGCAGGATTTCACCTGATGATGCTCGTTGTAATTACTGGTGATGCGTCATGGTACTCGAATTGTAAATGTTGTGGGTTTACTCTCCAACACCAAAGCGGCGTGGTGTAGTAGTAACGAATTGGCACGTTCTGTTTACATGACAAACCTTACTAATTGCCTGTGTCGGGTGGTGGCGGGTTGAACGACACATTCATATATTTACACGATCTAACCCAAAAACACCTAATTTATGGATGTTCATAATGTTATCGCGGATGTTTGTTTTATCAGTTGGAAGGATAGCAGCATCATCATCATAAGCAACATGATTAAAATTATCACTGATCTCATAATCTATTCTGCAACATCATCAGCATGTGACCACTCATATCCATTACTACCACACCTGTTCTTCACGAATATGACTACTGCATTACGAGAAGCCATCATGATGCACCACCACATCTGTTAGCGATGATGGTTTTGCTACTTCTGCATATACCCACAATGGCAATGATGGTACAGCTGTTACTGCTGCTGCTGCGGATGATGACATTGCTGTTGATTGATGATTATGATGACTACAGTGGTCGTGATGCTGCCGTTGTTGCTGCTGATCATAATTGATGAGGATGAACACAACTCATACTGACAACAATGATTGACAATGACAGATTTACAAAGAACCTGAGCCACAATATACGATATCTCGCGGTGGGGAGCCTTATCATTCACTCTAAACTCTACTAAACATTAATTTTTATTTCACCAGGTAAGACCCACTGAGCGAAAACTCTTGTTCATAAGCGACCTGGCCACAAATGATAACTCGAGTGGCTTATCACGTGGTAATTTATAGCAGCCAAATACTCTAAACTCGTTATGCTGATTCTTAATTGTGGGGGGGGGGGGGGGGGGAACTGGAGGACCCCGAGAAATATCCACGCGACCATGGGGAGAGAGACACACAGCAAACTCCCAATATACAGCAGGCATCGTCAGGGTCGGGATCGAACCCATGGCTTCCTGTATACCAGGCGAGGTAGTTAACATCTCTTATCCCCCGTGGCGCCACCCTATGATGGACGATGACAGATTTACAACAACAACAATAACAACAAAAGCCCCACCCACAATATACCCCGCCTCACTTGCGCTCTCTAAACCGATCCACAAATCCTGGCCAGGCGAGATATTCTTCACGGGCAGCGCAGGCTACTCACCCAGGACGTGGACGCCGTGCCGGGTCGGGCCGCTGGTCACGGTGGTGCGCGACGGCGGAGAGATGAGACTTGCGTGGCTCATCGTCTTCCGCGGGTCTTGCCACGTGGTCGTCTGATTGTTGTGGCTGCAAGCGCAGAACGGAAGGCAGATTTGCGTCAGGCGACCCGAGCGTTAGGCTGAGTACTCGCGAATACCACGTCCGGTATGCCGTGGCTGGATCTCCCATGGAATGTAACCGGGAAGATGGCTCAACGGGATCATCTGTGTAGTAAATAAGACGATTGCTTGTGTGGCGATCGAAACGGCGTGATCTATTCTTTTTCTACCTACGTGACTTTACCGAAAGAACCAAAGAGTATGGGTTCCTGCGGTCACGAAAGCTTCGAATCAAGATTGAAATGAAATTAACTTAAAACGTACATTGGTTGGTGAAGGTTTGGGTGGAGCCAGTGCAGATATCGCTGATGTCCGAAACAGCCAGGAATCAAACTCAGATTGCCGGGTTCATTGTTTATTGCGCTAACTGCTGCATCACTGCTTCACCCCCAATCAGTCAGATGCGTTTCTTCTGTGGCCGTCTGGAACGCTCTTCCTTCCGATTTTATTAAGCCACCGGGAGCTATGCACTTTTAAATCATTTAGATTGAAAGCTCATTTCTTCATAACTGCTTTTTGTGTTTCGTTCATTGTCCACCCTCCGATTACCACAGTTGGCTACGTACGGAGTGAAAAAAGTTCAACTGTACATACATGTGCCTACTACCGCTGCCAGTGTAAAAGTCATTTGTAACATCTTCAATGGGAAGTAAAGCTCTGACTGGATAGGTTTCCGCAGCGGTGCCGTACGTCACTCTGACGTGCTTTCCTGTTGTCCCACGTGTCCGACGTTTCGAACCGAAGCTCCCACTGCGTGGGGCGAAATGTGCGAATCAAGAACCGTTTCCTATGGCCACATTGCAACCCAGCCGGCTGGCAGTCTCCCGGTATGACGTGATGGCCGGGATCCACAAACCCTGCCCTGAATGTGGCATTTCAGAGCTGGGACAATTCGTCGCATATTCGACTGGCAATGTTTTTCGCAGTTTTTGTGGCCCTCTATTCGGACTCCTGGAAGTCACGTCTGGCGTAGCGCGGTTATTGATGCTGATGGCGTGACCATGGCCGGCGGTCAAATGGAATATGAACAGTGCCGGATTATCCTAGCAACAAAAGTAGCTACATATGCTACTGGCCCCACACTTTCAAGGGCCCCTCACTAAATGCTTTCAAGTTATCAATTCCGTTAAATTTCGATTTAAAGCTTTTGTGACTGCAGGGATTCATCTTCTTGGTTCTTTCGGTAAAGTCAGGTAGAAGGGAAATAATAAAATAATAAAAATAAAACAGTGATTCTGCACTATAGTACTACACCGCCTTCAACTTTTATGAACGACTGGGTGTTTAAGGTTACCGATTTGTCGTAATATCTGGCTTTATAGCAAATGAAAAAATACAATTACTTTACTGTGCAAGTTAAAAATGCATGTGTTTTAATATTTACGTGTTTTTTATTTAGGGCCCCTTTATAACATATGCTACAGGCCCCGCACTAGCTTAATCCAGCACTGAATATGACTCACGGTAAATCATCCAAAAAGCCAACATTATTCCAGGCAAATGATTTATTTTCATCGCTTTGGCTCTGACACAAAGCAGCCTGTGCTTGTGTGCGTCAACACACCTCCACTAGGCAAGTAAGAACACCAAGAAATGCCTGTCCATTGAGTCACAGTGTAGTTGATAGATTCAGATCCACTACTTTCCTGGCTTGTATCAAACTCAGCAGAAATTTACACACAAGGGATTTTTGTTCAGACTTGAATACATCAAAGCATAATTACTGTTCACAGAGATTTTAATTAGTATATATGTACATTTTAAAAATGTCATTATGATTTATTTTTTTGGGTTAGGCCATGTAATGACACTGGCCACATTTGTGTCCTCAGGTCCTCCACCACCTAGCATGAACAAACAAAATGATAACTTTAAGTTTAGAAGCATTTAACGGGGGTAATTATTATGATTGCAACTCACTGGCAAGTTGAAGAACTATTTCCAAATAGTTCCGAATTTAGCAATCGGATACGTGACGCTTCACGTGAAACTACGACGCTCACCTTAATGATTTTCCAGGAAGTGAGAATAGAAATCCTATGAAGTCAGAAATGAAATGTACCATGAAATACATACGGCCCATTTGTCCATGTACCTTGCTCACTGCTCTGTGAACCCCTGCAACCTGAGTTTGATTTTCAGTCATGGCCGGTCAGCGTGGGTTCTCGAACGGTGGGTATCCAGCATCCCCCGGTGCAGATGTCACTCGCCACTGATGCTCGTCGGGCTCAGGAATCGAACTAAAGTCAGCGGGTTCACAGTGCGGTAACATGGTCTGTTGTATGTATAACACGAGGGCGCGGCTGGTGGCGAGATGGTAACTACCCCGCCTGGTATACAGGAGGTCGTGGGTTCGATCCCGACGCCTGCGGGTATGTTTGGAGTTTGCGTGTTCTCCCCATGGTTGTGTGGATTTTTTTACGGTTCTTCTGATTTTTCCCTACGCATTTAGAATGAACGTGCACTTCGAGTATTTAGTTGTTATACATTTACACGTGACAAGCCACTTCGTTGAGTTATCAATTAAGACCAGGTCGCTTCTGGTAAAGCGTAACATAGCTAAGTGGGCCCTTACCTGGTAAAAAAAAAATATTATATTATATTTTAACACACGTTCACGTGTCTATGTACAAGCGTGCACATGTAAAATGCTGATCTAATACACGGACGATCTTTACTTACAACCAAGAATCAGTAACGTTCAACGTAGTGAAATTATTTTTTTACAAAGCTAAATTGTGTGTACACTGAACACTAGACCACACAGGATGAAGATACACGCGATAATAAAAATCATAATAAAGCAGCTTTATGCAGTATTTAACTCCCATGAACTACAGATTTTGAAGATAGAAGAGTTTCCGAGAATGTTTGTGATGGGTGCCGCCTATAGCTGTGCAGTTGGTGGGGAATGGGTGAAGAGATTGGGATTTGGATTCCTGATGAGTTGTTTTGAACGGAGGGGTGTCTCAATAGTGCTGCACATGCGATAAATGACTCATATCACTTCTCAAACTTTACGAAAGTGTGTCAGCTATTTCTGTAGAAACATGGTGACCCAGAACCTGGCCTTATATCTTGAAATTATTATGGCAGTAGGGGGGCGATGACTGATACATGTTGATCCCAATTGAGTAATTTGCGGGTATTTTTTTTTTGGCGTGGCAAATTTTGGCCCATGATCCCTGCACACGATGGCCGACCCATCTCGAATGACGTCAGGGGATCTTTAATGCCCCCTGTGAAGCAGACGGTGCTCGTATTTTACAGTTGATGCAACACAGACCGCAGTACTAACCAGGGCGGTCTGCAGGATTAGAACCGCGAACCACTGCAACAAGCGTGGAATGTGCTACTGCTTTGTCACGTCATCACCCCAAGGCGGCTGGACCGTGAACTGATGTATGAACAGGTCCTGGGACTCTCCTAGGTAAGCTCAGCCTTGAATGAGTTCCTGGTGTGCTACGTAGGCCATGGTTGCACATTGGGGGAATTCGTTCAGGGCAATGACAAGAGGCGTAAGTGATGTGAGATTGCACTACCAACAGCTGCTGGAAAGGCATATCACCCTGCCACAGTGCCCTCTAAAGTGCAACTATTTTTAGTTGAGCCAAAAAGCCACACTGTGTAGCCCGAAGCTCACGAGAAAACATATTCACATTTCAGACCTACAGCGCAAGATAAGCTAAAACTATGAACTACAAACTACTTATTTTATCAGGTAAGGCCCACTGAGCTATAGAGCTAATTTTAAGAAGTGACCTGGCCACAAATTATAGCTCAACAGAGTGGCTAATCACGTGGAAATGTATAGCAGCCAAACACTCTAAACGCACGTTTCTAAATGTGGAGATAAAAAAATTGGAGAACCCGGAAAAAGTCCACGTGACCACGGGGAGAACATGCAAACTTCAAATATACAGGCGTCAGAGGGATCGAAACCATGATCTCCTCCATACCAGGCAAGGCAGTTAACATCTCGCCACAAGATGCAAAGATGCCCCGAGCAGGCACGTACATGTAACAGCAAGTGCTGTAGCGATCACCTATCAAGGTCAGCACGGCACACAAGATGTTGGTGTGACAGGCACGACGCACGGCCACCTCCGTCTATCCAGCGCCAATTTTTTACAGAGCACACCAGGGTTACTCGCTTAAGGCTGAGTTGACCTACGGAGGCCCGGGACGAGTTCAGATATCATTCGCCACCGATGTTACCCGCAGATTGGAATCGAAGTCAGGTTGTCGAGTTTATAGCGAAGTGCTTTAATCACTACAAAGACAAAGATCCCCCATGTAGCCTAAACAGACTTTTGGGGCAAGTGCTGTCCGAGAGCACCTATTAAAGTGGGCGGTGCACATGAGGGACTGGGTGGCAGGTACAATGCCCCTTGTTGTGATGCTTAAACACCGCAGCAGGTACTCATTTGAGGCTGAGTCGACCTCGGGAGAGGCCAAGGGCCGGGTCAGATAAGCGTCACTGGTGTAACCACTGCACCACCGTTTCAACAACAACAATTACAACCACCATTCGTCAAAAAGTGACGGTGATGTTGCCACGGTGCTCGTGCCAGGCTAGGTGCACTTTCAGGCCACGTTAAGTGTACAACGGTTCGCCGGGAGGCGGTCACGGGACAAATTCAGGTGTCGTGGGTTAACCGAATGGGTTTGTAGCATTGTCCGTTGAACTTCTTAAGCACCGTACGTAGACAACCGTGCTGCACACAAACGCATACCTGAGCCTCGAGGCAAAAGTCAGTGACAACACGAGAAGTGCCCAGACCTGCTCCTGACCTCCTCCTGCACTGTCATTATGAACTAAAGCCCACGTCTCTGAGCTTAAACCTCACCACGAGACCCTCAATCAAATGGCACCAGATCTGCGGCGTGTGTGTGTGTGTGTCGTAAAAACACTTTTGTGAACACGCGATGGTCATTTTCGTCAGGTTATGGCAGTTTTTGCGGAAA